TGACGCTAGTTACTGAAATCACAAGGAATTAAACCGACAACCGACATAACAACAGATGTTTAAAGATATGTTCGATTCACTTATGAAAACAAGTTTTCAATTCATCACTTTATAAAATAAAATAGACTAGTGCATGAGCGAGTTCATTGTAGAACTCATATAATGATTCGTTTATATATCAGTCAATGCTTCATCATTATTACGACACATTATATTACTTATTTGCACGTGGCGCCGATGTACTCTATGCCCTCTCATATGTTTTCTTTTATCGCCGAGGAAAAGCAGTACAAACTTGCAGTATATATTGTTCGACTCATGAGTGTAGATGTGCCACGTGAAGGTTCACTAACTGCATTTTTCTTATTTTAGATTCATTTTTATTATCGACTATATCGAAAAAAGTCATATATTATACATTATGTTTCGTATACTAATTTTGTCTATTGTATTCTTTGCCATTGCTAATGGTAATTTGAAAGATGATATTAAAGATAAAGCATCAGCAGCATTAAATCAAGGTGAAAAATTAAAAGTATGTTACGACAAAAAAAAAAAGTTTTGTATTTTAACTTTTGTTTTTCTTATAGGATAAAGTCGTTGATGGAGTTAATGAAGGTGTTGCGAATGCTAAAGCTTTCGCTCAATCAGCTTCTGATACTATCAATGAAAATGTTGATACATTAAAAGATAAAGCTGGTAAATTATATTTTTGTTTTTTCAAAAAAATTATAAACATGATATTATCATTTATGTTGTTTGATAAAAATCAAATTGAAAATCCATTTTTGTTTTTTTTTTACTTTCAAAATATTTTAATAAAAAAAAATTTTTATTCTTTTTTAGCTGAAACACTTGCATCTGGTCAAAAAGTTGCTGAAGATGCTAAAGCAACAGCAAGTAAAAAACTTGATGAAGCTAAAGCTGCTGGTGAAAATCTTCGAAAAAAAGCAAGTGAAAGTATTGACGATTTGTAAGTTTCTTTAAAAGAAAAGAAAAAAAAAAATAATTTAGTTCATTTTATAATTCAATCTTTTTAGAGAAGATGCAGCTAGTGATGCTGCTAAATCAGCAAAGAAAACAGCTGAAAATGTTGCTGAGCAAGCATCAAGTAAATATTAAATTTTTTATTTCTATATTTATTTAATTGCGTTTCTTCTATAATTAGAACAAGGTGAAAAAATAAAACAACAAGCAAGTAATACAGGTGAAAAATTAAAGCGACAAGCTAGTGATGCTGGTGATAAAGTTAAATCAGCAGCACAAGATGCAAAAAAACAAGCTGAAAAACAAAGTGAAGGTCTTCTTAATACAGTCTATAATGTTCTTACTGATGTTAAAAATTCAATTTTTGGTAAAAAAAAAAACCAAAATTTTTTAAGAGAAAAATATTTTCTAAAGAAAATCTTCTTATTTAGAAACTATTGGATTAGCATCTAAACATACAGCTGATTTAGCAGATCAAGCTAAAGAAAAAGTTGAAGAACTTTCTGGTAAAGCACAAAAAACTGCTAAACAAGTGAAAAAAGATGCTAAAGATACACTTGACCTATAAATATAATTACAAACAACTAGTCCATAAGAATTAGCATTCATTGCTTTTTTTTCTTTCTTTTGATGACATTTTTCTATTCCTCGAACCTATTCTTCCTAAACATTATTTTGTGTTGTTTTTATTTTTTTTTAAATTTATCTAAAACAAATTTAATCAAGCAAGTAAGAAAAAAAAACCAACATTTATTTCTGCAAAATTCCATCTAGCCATTTTTGTGTGTTGTTCATATTCATTTCTTTTATTATTTATCATATCATTCCAGATCTTTTGTGTTTTCTTCTTTCGGTGTCTATTTTTTCTATACTAACTATATGGATATTTATATGTATATCGTAGACAAAATTGTTTTACAATATATGTAATTATTATATTCATACAGTGGTAATGAAAAAATAAAAACAGTCATATGTATAGAGCGGTGTTTTTGTTTTTTTCTTTTATTTCCTCTTTATAGCGTATCTTTTTTTGTGTTTCGTGGTATACATACATGTTTATCTTTCTTTACAAATAAAAAACGAAGTTAATTAGAAACGTCCGGTATTTTTATTATATTTTTAAAATGAATTTTTTTTTTTTTATTTGCAGTATTTATACAATCAAATATTATCGAATATTTCAATACAACAAAATAATAATGGGAATTTTACGCAAATTTTTATTATTTATTCTTATCGTATGTTACATTTCAATTGCATATGGTAAACAAAAAACAGTTAAAGATACTGTTGTCGATGGAGCTACACACATTAAAGATACTGTTGTCGATGAAGCTACACACATCAAAGATACAGTTTCGGATGGTGTTAAAACTGGAGCAAAATTAGCAAGTGATGCTGCTAAAACTGGAGCAAAATTTGCAAGTGATGCTGCTAAAACTGCTGGTTAGTTAAGAAATAGTTATTTTTGCATTAGAGAAAGAGAAGACGTATTAGAAATTTTCTAAAATTAATTCTAATCTCTTATACGAATGATCAAATTAGAATTTGTATAGTTTTAATTAGCTAAATAGATTTTAAATACTTATTATTATCAACTAGTATTCGTACCAGAATAACAGAGTGATAAATATAAGTTCAATAAGTTGACAAAGGTAACAGCTATCTACCTGCGGTTGTTAGTAATCGCAACATCAGATCTCCGGACATGGTTTTTGATCGGATATTATATAAGACAAATTGATTTCAAAATTTTTTATGTTTCCAAGGCATTAAAAAAAAATATTGAATGAAAATGGTATTCCATTTATATTCATTTGATCTTATATAATATAAGAAAAACGAAACCTCCGACTTTTTCATCTTTCGATTTCTGAAAACAGCAGATCAATAATTGTTGTTATTGTTAAGTTTTAAAGATTACATCTACTTCTCTGTAACTCTGATACGGACATTAGTTTTTTAATTTTATTTAATTAATATATTTTTCTTCGTAGGTGATTATGTAGCTGATGCTGCTTCATCGGCAGCTAAAGTTAGTCAAGAAGCAGCGGCCGATGCTGCTAAAGCAACAAAAGAATATACTGCTGCTGGTGCTCACAAAACTCAAGAAGTTTTTAACGAATACGTAAGAGAAAGAAAAATTTATTAGTAGACTATATTGAAAATTTTGAAGGTTGTACCTGTTGCTTCTGATACATTGAATACAGTAAAAGAGAAAGTTGCTGAGGCAGCTCATGCCACTGCTGAAAAAACACAAGAAGTATACAATGAATATGTTCTTCCTACAGCACATGCTGGTATTGAAAAAACTCAAGAAGTATTTAATGAATATGTAAGATAAGAAAAAAATCTATTCATAGACTATATTGAAAATTTTAAAAGGTTGTACCGGCTGCTTCTGATACATTCCATACAGTAAAAGATAAAGTTGCTGAGGCAGCTCATGCCACTGCTGAAAAAACACAAGAAGTATACAATGAATATGTTGCACCAACAGCTGCCGCTGGTAGGGAAACAAAGATTCTTTATTTTGTTGAATTAAATGAAATTATTCTCTTTTTTTTAAGGTGCTGAAATCGTGAAAGTGCGTATCATCAATTAAAGTAAACTTCGTTAGTATTATCTTTCTTTAGGAAAAAGTTCGTGAGGCCACTGATGTTCTCAAAGAAAAAACAGCTGAAGCAACTGATATTCTTAAAGAAAAAGCTACTGAAGCAGCTAAAGTTGGTACAGAATATGCGGAAATAATTAGTGAAAAAGCTGCTACAGCTGCTGAAGCAGGTAATGAGTATTTAGCACAAGGTGCTGAAATTGTCAAGGAGAAGGCTACGTAAGTTTTGATGTTATTTAAAATTTTTTTTTTTATTCAATAAATAAATTCTTTTCTTTGTTCAGAGAATATGCTGAAGAACTTCTCAAACAAGGTCAAACTTTCAAAGAAGTAGCTAAAGAAAAATTAGATGATGCTGCTGGTGAAACAATCAAAAGTAGGTTTTTATAAACAAAAACGAGAAATGCAGAAAACGATTAAGATTTTTGTTACTTTGTATAGGTGCAAAAGAATTTGCTTCTGAAGCTTTAAAAGCTACTAGTGAATATACAGCTCAAGCTGGTGAAATGTTAAAAGAAAAAGTTCCAGAAGCCATTGAAGGTTTGACGATTGAAATTAAAGACCAAAAAAAAAATCATCGATTGTCTTTTTTTCTTTCTTTTAGCTGGAAAAGAATATGCAGCCAAGGCTGTTGAAATGGGTCAAGAATATGGCAAAGAAGCACTTGAAAAAACTGAAAAATATGCTGAACAAGTATATGAGGCTGGCAAAGAAAAAGCCGAAGAACTTCTTAAAGATGCTAGGAAGAAACTGGACTTATAAAGTCAAAAAACTGATCTTACATCATTTTTATTTTATATATTATATTCAAGTCTGATGTGTTTGTTGTTGATTTTCAGGAAAAAAAGACAATTTCCCGTTTGTGTATAAAAAATGTTGTAGACAGCTTGTATCAATCAATGTTTGTGGATTTTTTTTTTCTTCTTTATACTTATTCTTATAAATATTCAAGCGTATGTGTTTATTGCACATTTTAATGTAGCTCAACTTCTCCTTATTTTTTTCCTTCTATCAGAAAAAGCAATATATATACTCGGCATTTACTGAGTTAAGCTTTTTGATATTTTATTTTTATGCACATACATTTTTCTTTCATCAAACTTTGTCTTGTTCTTTCGCATCGATCAATCAAGGATGAAGAATATATTGAAAACGATATACTTACTTTTTTTTTTCATTCCGGAACTTTCTAAATGAAAAAGGTAGTTGATGTCACCACTATCGATGACATGTAAAATCGCGTCAATCTCTCATTGGTTGCTTTTATGCTCCTTCTCATGTAAAGCAAGTTACATATATTTGTCCTTCACTCATTCGAGCCATCATTTCATTTTCAACAATTTTAAATTGCAGATTGCGTCTTTTTTTTTAATTTCTTATTCACTTTTACTAAACGATGAAATTTCTTTATTCATTTTGTGCTGCACTCTTCTTACTAATTACATCAAACAAAGCTCATACACCGGGAACAGTAACTGTTGATAAATATACATTTGATAAAATCATACGTAATTTTGATGCCGTCTTAGCAAAATTTGATGATAAATATCGTATGTATTATTACTTTTTTTTTTTGTCAAGAGAACTTCTATTAAATTTAAATTTGATTGTTTTCTTTTTCAGCTTATGGTGATAAACAAGATGAATTTAAGAAATTTGCTGAAAGTGTAGCTAATACAAAAAATCTTCTTTTAGCTGAAATTCCAATAACAGATTATGGTGATAAAGAAAATGAAGAATTAGCTAAAGAATATAGTGTAACGAAGGCAGATTTTCCAGCATATAAATTATTTCTTAAAGGAAAATCTAAACCAATTGATTATACAGGTGATAATACTGAAAATGATCTTAAACGTTTTCTTTCACAAAATACAGGTAAAATGAAAACGAAAAATTAGGTTTTAAATTTAGAAAAAAAAAATTTATTATTATTTTCAGATCTTTGGTTTGGTTTACCCGGTACACTTGAGCTATTAGATCGTATATCCCGAGAATTTTTTGATGCATCATCAGCAAATGAGGAAACAAATCAAAAATCATTACTTGAAAAAGCACGAGAATTAGTTAAAGGTTTAACTGATAAAAAAGATCAAAAGAGGTATGAAGAAAAAAAAAGAATGTATGTCTTTTTAAAATACATTTGACTATTTATCTTATGATAGTGGTGAATCTTATATAAAGATCATGGAAACAGTTGTTAAACAAGGTGTTGAATTTCTTAAACGTGAAGGACGACGTGTACAAAATTTATTGAAAGGAAAGGTAATTAGAAAATTTAAACTTAGTAAAAATTAATAATATGCTAATGTTTGAGAAATATTTTTTGCTATGAAATTGATCTTTACAAGTATTATGTTAAATTAATATATTGATGTTTTTGATAAAATGAATGAAAGATTTTGAATTTCGTAATGAGCTTGATATTTTAATTCTGAGTTTCTATTCATGATTATACTTTATAATTTTATTTTAGATTACCAGTGAAAAAAGAGAAGAATTACAACATCGTGCAAATATTCTTCTTTCATTTAAATCACTTAAAGAATCTGTAACTGAAACAGTTGAAACAATTAAAGATAAAGTTGTTGATGCTGCTGAAACAATCAAAGAAACTGTCACTGGCGAAAAAGATCTATAAATCAAAATCAATATCTTCTAACGAATAGACTTACATAGAAAAATTAGATTTTAATGTAATTTGTTGTGTCTTTCAATAAGGATAAGTGATGGAGGAGTATTGAAAACGAAAAACAACAATTGAATAAAATGGTTATGTTTGATTACATTCCTAACTGTTTGTTCTTTTTTTGTGTGTAGTGAAATTGTAGTTGTTTTTTTGTGCTTTTTGTTTTTTTTTGTGAATGCAATACATTTGACATGCAAAGAAAATAAAACATTAGTTCACTCAAGACCCTAAATCGACGTGAAGCTACCATAACGACCACTCCTATTATAGATATAATCCACCAATGAAAAAAACCAGCATAAAATACCTAACACAATCCAACAAATACCAACATATTTTCCTTAGTTACCAAAGTATACTTATTGAAAAACACTAAGCCCAAGGAGCCCCACAAGCAAATGTAAATTTTAGAATTCTTACAAAAAAAAGGAACAACTTCTATCATCATAATACTCCTGACCTTTACGTAAAATAAAGTTCATCGCCGTCTCCTCAGTTCGTCTATACCACAGCATCCCATATCATACAAAATATGATAGTCGAAGCTATAATTTCATACTGTATTGAATGTCACAAACGTTCCATGCAGTACATAGCCCAACACAACACGATTTCCTCATCAAAGATAAGCTATCAGAAATGATGACTAATCTTATAATGAATACTGCTTTCACTGAGTTCCCGCATGTTCGCTACTTTTTAAGACGTGCAATATATCGAAAATTTAGATCTTGAAATTATTCTATCATATTTATCTATCGTTACACTTGTGAGGAGATCAATGATGTCGTTAACGACAAATCATCCAATACAAAAGTGCAGGAAAAATTCAAAACTAACTATTTACTTCCTCCTCAGCGTACCTCAGCAGTAAAGACAAAACTATTCAACCCATTAATATTTTGAATCATCTCACAAAACAGTACACCATCCCACAGAAAAACTCACTACTCAACAACGTTAAAAAAATCTACTGAATCCTATAAACAGACACATAGGACCACCAGCTAGATCTCAAAAACTATCCAGACCCCAGACCTTAAAATAACCTTCAACTCACCATAAAGCACTACATCCAACGCACACATCTTTCACTTAAACCGAAAAGAGTTAGATAAAAAAAAATATACTTTACTGTACTCGAACATTACAGTATTCATTTAAGGATTGTCTTCTACCTTCTACCTCATTTCCGAGACTGTATGCACACATGATTCGATGCGCAACTTGATGTTGTATCAAATTCACTAGTCCTTCTCCCCTGACAATTAGTTTCACAAAGAAAAAAAATTCTGTCTATAACTGGACTAGCGTACCTTTGTTTATGCTTGGGGCTCTATTCATTCTCGAACTCATAGACGAGAGAGAAGTTATATATCATTTTATTCGTAATTCAATGCTCTTTCAAACTCATTAGTCTTTCTCTCTTGGAAATCAGTTTAGTACAGAAAAAAATTAATTTTTTTTCATTTTACTTTTGTACTATTGTTTATTCTTGGGACCGTGCGCGCTGTCAAACTGATCGCCAAGAAAGAAGTTGTACATTATTCGATTCGCATTTAAAAGCTGTATCAAGTTCACAAGTTTTTCTCTCTCAGGAATGAGTTCCATAGCCGAAAATAGTTAGTTTTGTAATTGTACTTTTGTACGATTGTTCCAGTTTTTCGAAAGGATCTAACTTTCAAGCTCATTGCCCAGAGAGGAGTTGTTTATTAAGGAAAGCA